TAGATGGATGGGTGGCTGGATGAGTGGGTGGATAGGTGGATGGGTGGTTGGATGAGTGGCTGGATGGGTGGATGGATGGGCAGGTGGATGGATGAATACGTGGATGGCTGGATGGTTGGGTGGATGATGGATGGAATGGTGGGTGGATGAATGAGTGATGGATGGATGCATGAGTGGATGAGTGGGTGGATGGTTGGATGGGTGGATGGGTGAGTGGATGGATAGGTAGATGGATGGGTAGGTGGATGGATGGATAGATGGATGGATGGATGGATGGTCAGATGGATGGGTGGATAGATGGGTGCATGGGCGGGTGGATGAGGGTGAGTGGGTGGATGGGTGGATGGGTGGGTGGGTGGATGAAAGGGTGATGGCTGGAAGGGTGGGTAGATGGATGGTCAGATGGATGGATGGACAGGTGGATGAGTGGGTGGATGAGTAAGTAGATGGCTGGCTGGCTGGCTGGATAGATGTATGGATGGGTGGACGGGTGGATGGACAGGTGGATGGGTGGGTAGATGGGTGGGGGATGGGTGGATGGATGGGTACACGGGCAGGTGGATGTGGGTGGGTGAAGGATAGATGGGCAGTGGATGGATGGATGGTGGATGGTTGGATGGGTGGGTAGATGGGTGGGTGGGTGGGTGGATGATGTTGATATTCATAAAGCAAGTAATGGGCAAATATGTATATACAAGAACTGGCACAGTATCCTCCCTCCTAATCAATCTTTTTTACTTCCCTGTTACTGGGAAGTCTACAGCCTCCTAGGCCCAGACTGAGGAGACACCATGTCATTAAATCTGCTCCTTCTCTCTTGCCCACCCTCCCTGCCCTGATTCAAGCCATGCGTTCCTTTTCCTGGCCACCACACTGGGACCCTAACTTTTCTCTGTCTCTGGGCTTCTCTTATCCACTTCCTCCACATTGGTTGCAGATTTTATTGCTCCGACCATATCTTTCCCTTCTGTGTCTTCCACATGATAAAATCCAAATCTCTCACATAATTTTTCGAATCCTCCCTGCATGGCTGTGTCTGGCTTTCTAGGACTATCTTCTTGTCCCCCACAGAAGATGGGGGCCCTGCAATCCCCCCTGATTGCCCCATTCTCGTGTCCTGATTTATGTTCTTTTCTCCATCTGGAACACCTGTCTCCTTACCACCCCCTCGCCCAGTGAAAACGATGCGTCCTCCTGTAAGTCTCCCACACCCGGCTCCAGAGTTGTCCCGAATCAGGAATGAAGTGTTCTTTTTCTGAAACACTGACACTTCTTCCATCTTGGAGGTGTCCTCTGTCCATCCACCCATCATACAACACCCTTTGACCCCTACCGTGGTCAGCCCTGCCTTGGCACCGGTGACAGCAAGAGGAAGGGGTGGTTCTGGTGGGGCGGGCAGCCATGACTGGGGCAGGGGAGTCTCTGCTGGGAAGTGGGGGGCAGCCAGAGTGAGTCAGTAGAGTCTTTGCAGACGGAAAGCCCTAAGGCTGAGGGAGCAGCACGTTGCAAAATGAGGTGTGCTCCCAGAAGGGCTGGGGCAGGGCAGGGCACGTGTTGGGGGGCGAGGAAATGGCTAAGAATGCATCTTGAACATCTTGAACAGCCCTGAATGCCGAGATGAGGACTCTGGCTCAGCTAACAGGGGGCACCAGTGGTCATTATGAGCAGCTCACGCCTACTGCCAGAGTGGAGAGTTGACGTTCTGGGTCTCTGCCTTCCCTGGACACTAGGCGAAGCGACATAAGGCTGCGATCTGTGTGCTGCAGACCCAGCTTGCCCTGAACTGAACTGGCCCATGTGGGTGGAGAGAGTGGATGGCCGGTCTGATGGGTGGATGGACAGGGGAAGGCAGAGAGGGACACTGTGTTTCTTTCACACCCACCGAATGCCAAACTCTACCCTGCGCAGGTGTGCTTACTGGAACGTCGTTTCATTTCAGTTTGTTTCGTGAACAGACGAAGGCATGAGCTCAGATGAAGGTGGCCTGTCAAGAGCTCACTGCTCTTAAGGGACCAAGCTGGGAATTTGGCCAAGGCCTTCTGACCCCAAGTCCTTTAGGCGCCCTTGGAATTGCCCATGATGGGCTACAAATGGTGTAGGGTGCAGCAGGCCAGGAGACATGCAGCTGGATGGACAGATGAACACATTCCCGGGTGCAGGAGTCTGAGCCAGCCCGTTCTGCACCCCCCCACCCCTGCCCAGGCCAGAGACAACTCACCTTGCACCCCCTTCCCTGGCAAGCCTCAAGCTTTTTTGCCCTGGCTGTCCCCCCCCCGGGGGGGGGGGGAGTCATGGTGAGCTCCCTTCTGCTCCTCGGAAGCACTAATTCCTACCCACCACCCACCCCAGAGCTAATCCTGCACCATTCAGAAATCTGACCTACCTACAACCTGCACCAGATGGGCCTGCCCTGTGCCAGCCGGCACCCACAGCTGAGCCAAGGGGAGGAGGGGACAGCTTCCAGACAGGAGCCCACGCAGCAAGACCCAGGTCTACAGGCCATTGTCAGGGCACGGAAAGAGGGCACCGGGGGGGCAGAGCTGAGGTTGGTCTGGGGCCTCCACTCCCCAATTTCTAGGGCCCCCTTCCCTTTGCTGCCTCCACAGCACACTCATGCACACACGTGCACACTCACACTTACATACACCCAGGCACACACGGACACTCACACACACAGTTGCTCCTATATACACGCACACTCATGCCCACGCACTCGTGCACACATGGTCACATGTGAATTACACGTACACCTTCACACCCACACACACTCGTACACGTGCACACTCACACACACTCACTCACACAATGCAGTCCCCACACGGTGGAGCCCAGAGCTCAGTACACAGGCCTGGAGGCAAAGGTGCGCCTGGCGGTGGGTGATGCTGACGATGAGTCAGGAGGTGGGGATAGCCGGGTGGCCAGGGTGTGTGATGCCAGCGGCAGGGGTGGGGCTCAAAGATGCACAGAGGCAGAGCTGTCCAGGCTTCTGTCCTTTTTCCAGGGCCAGCCTCCCTGGCCTAGACCCTCCCCTCCCTCCAGCCCCCACGTTCCGCCCCCACCTCACTGGGCGGCTGTAATCAGTGACATGCATCAGGGCTTGGACCCGCAATCTGGGGACAGTGATGATCTGGCTAGACATGAGCCAACACCTTCCAGAGTGACAGGGAGATGGGTCCTTCAGTCCTTACACATTTGCACCGAGCTCCCCACTTCGAATGTGAGTGGATCACAGCCTCTCTCCTGCAATCTTGGTCCATTTCTTTCTGCATTGCCCTGGGGACATGAGGTCCTGTCTGCCTGGTGGCCTGCTCTGCTCCCAGCCAGCTCCTCTCACAGCAGTGAGGGGCTCTTGGAAGTTGTATCCACTCAGGGTTTGGGGTCAGGGGTGTGTGGGACATGCCTGTGGCTCTCTCCACCCCCTGCCCCCCGCCGGGCACCCTGGCCACCAGGACGGACTGTCTAGAAACCGTGTGGGAGAGGGAAGGCGGAAAGCAGTGACTTGATCAGAAGCCCCGTCTACCATGGCCTCCTTCTGAACGCGTGCCTGGTTTCAGGGTCCCTGTGAGGGGCTTGGAGAAGTTCTCTGCACTGTCCCCCTGTCAACAGGGGAAAGGCTCCAAGGGTCTTCATCGGTGTGCGGCTCCATCCCCGCATGCCCAGGGGCAGCTCTGGGACCCCACCCACAGGACAGGACACTGAGCCCTCGGTCTGCTCCGCAAGGACTAAGCTGGCTATGTGGAGAACGCCGTCCTGCACGCCCGAGCCCTGTCAAGGCAGCCTGGAAGCTTCCGCAGCTCAGGACCGAGCCAGGCAGCCCCACCCCGCTGACTCGGAGCTAGCCAGCAGCTGTGTGTCTCTGGATCCCACGAGGGGGCCCCCACCTGCCATCCCCCGCTCCCCCTGTCCCCCTCCCCCGCCCCACTCACTTTGAGGGAGTAGGCCAGCGCAATGAAGCCCAGGCAGCAGAAGTTGAGGTAGACGAAGTTGAAGATGGACCACAGGTAGTAATCGTTGACCTCGGTGGTGTCGGGGTAGACTTCAATGACCGTTGCGGGGTTCGTCATAGTTTTCTTCTCTGCTAGGTGCTTGCAGGCCTGGGGGGCACCGGAGGCCCGCACGCTGTCCGTCTTGCTGCTCTTGGACTCCATGGGGAACAGGGTGGGCGCCATGGGGGGTGATGCTGAGGGCTCAGGGGCCGGGGCCGCTGGAGCCTGCAGGGCCGGGGGCTTGGACACGCAGGCAAAGCAACCCTTAGGTGAGCCTGCCGGGGGCCTTGGAATCCAGAAGGCCCCGTCCAGGGGGACTCGGGCTTCCTGGGTGCCGTCCGTGGTGCTGGCCGGGGCTCCCAGCGGCGCTGGGCACTGGCTGGGGCCCTGGGCCTGGAGGGAGGCGGGGAGGAAGAATGAGCTGGGTCCTGCCTGCCCTGCAGGGCTTGCCCTGGTGTCCTGCAGCATCTCCCCTGCAGACTCACAAGCAGCCCCAAAGGAGATGGAAATCCCCACCGAGGCGGCCAGCTGCCAGCCTGCCTCCCCCACCCGCCCTAGCCACCCCGATGCCAAAGCCCTTCACAGCAGCCTTGGCAGGAACATCGGGGGCTTTTCATCACTTTGCCATCTGCGCACATTCACCCACTGACATAAAACAGCAACAACCCCCATACCCAGCAACAACCCGACTGACAGGCTGTTGTTATAGACAGAGCATGCCAGCATCCCGCACACCCCGGCACACACAGGCCAGGCAAACCCACAATGGCAGCATCTTGGCCACTATCTGGCAGAATGAGCAGAGCTCTCCGGAGCACCTGCAGGCTGACAACGCTGACATCGGCCACCAAGACTCTCCAGACCCCCGGGGCGCACCCGTGTGCTGAGATGCTTCCAGGTAAACAGCTCCGCACTGTGACACGCAGCGTGGACACACACAGCCACACGGGCTCAGACGCAATCGCCCGGGATGGAAACGGCCACTGCGGGCGCCCCAAACTCGTGCGCGTCGTCCCCGCCCCCAACCCCGGCCCAGAGCGGCGGCCGGGACCCCAAAGGCTTGCTCTCACTCGCAGGGAGCCACCCAGCCCGTGCCACAAACAGACGCACAAGGACACTCTGCGAAACGCGCACTTCTCCAGCCAGGCACTAAGGCGTCTGCGCCCTGCGCCCCCCCCGGGGGGGGTGGGTCTGCGGCCGTCACCCCGCGACCTGGCCCCGGGCTGCCGCAGCCTCACGGACGGACGGCGCGCCCCGCGCCCTCACCTGCTGGCGACTCCTCGGCGGGCGGACCGACCCCTGCGCCGCGGTCCGCGCGTCCTTCCGCCGGCCGGCGGCTCGCTGTCTGCCCCGCCGCTCCGCGTCCCGGCGGCTCAGCCTCGGCGGGGGGAGCGCGCGGGGCTGGCGGCGCCGCTGTCCCCGCTCCTGCGCTCCCTCCGCAGCGCCAGGCCGGCCGCGCGGCTGCAGCCCCAGCCTGACTCACGGGCGCCGGCGGGGCGCAGCCACCTCCCCGCCTCCTCCCGCCCGCAGGGTGGGGGCCGCGGGCGCCGGCCGGAAGCCGGACCCTCGGGGGCTGCAGAGCCGGCGGGGGGGTTGCGGGGATGGGGTCCCCCTACAGTGCCACCCAGTGTCCCCGACCGCTGAGCCTCCCGCGCCTCCCCGCCCCTCCCTCCTGCTGAGCCCCCAGCCTCTCCCCCCTCTGTCTCTCCAGGAGGGAGCTCCTTCACCCTCCTGCTGGCCTCCTCTGCCCCACCCCAGCGACCGGGATGGCTATCTGAGCCCCTGCCCCTCCGCTGACCCCTCTCAGACTGCCGGGTCCCTACGCTCCCCACATCTCAGTCCTCACCCCTCCTCAAGTACCAGTCCTGGCCTGGCAGAGCCCCCACCCTAGAGAGCCCAGGTACCCCAGCCTGGGCGCCTCCCCAGCACATCCCTGCACCTAGCCCAGCCCCCATCCGCTCTCCTGTCCCTGTACACACCCCTATCCCCAGCCAAGGCCCTTGCAGGCGCCTGGCCCCCCACTGTAGCCCCTCTCTGAGCCCCAAGCCCATCACCCACCTCTGCACAGCCCCGCCCCTAACTGCGGCCCTAGCCCCAGACGCTACCAAGTCCGGCCTTCCCTGAGCCTTGATGTGGCCCTGTCCTTTCTGAGCCCACCCCTGTGGGAACCCCTGACCCCGTTTCCCCAGATCTGACCCTACACACCCCAGCCCAGAGCACCCAGCCCCACCTCCTGACTTTGCATCCCTCACCGAGTTCAGTCTTGAAGGCCCTTACCTCTCACTGGTTGGTCCCCTCTGCCCATGGGGCCAGATGTTCTTCTCCAAGCCCCTAATGACCCTTGTCTCCTTCCACTCACCTGCCCATGCCTCTCTGCCAGCCCTGCTGGTCCCACCTGGGCCGCGTCCCCTGCAGGTGCTCCTTCCTCCAGCCAATGCCCACCGGCCCAGCCCCAGCCCCCTCTGGGGGCCTCCACTCACTCCATACCCTCTCGCTCTCTCTCACACGTGTCCTTAGATGACCTCTCCTTCCTGCAAAAGTCCCAGTGAGTCCCATCTGCAAGGGAGAAAGAAGCCCTAGCCCTCTCTGCCTCTCCCGGAACCGCCCCCCCCCATCTTGCAAGTGCCCTCTTCACCAGCCCACCCGCCCCCACAGACCCTAGACCCCCCCAAGCCCCCCCCCCAAAAGCTGGGTTCTATGTGGGGGGCCCCTAGATTTCCTTCCACAGCCCCCCCCCCCAAGCCCCTGTCCCCTCAGAGGCCCTGGCTGCCCTCTGACCAGCTCAACCTGCCTCCCCGTCTCCACAAGCCTCCCTCCAAGCCTGGGTCCTCTCAGGAGCAATCCTTGCCCGCCTATGCCCAGTCCTCTGCCCACCCCTGCTCTCCCCAAACCTCTTTGAGTCTGAGGCCTTCCCGGAACCCACCTCCCTGGACAGGCCTCAGCCCCTCCCCGAGCCCTCCCCTTCCAGCCCCGCCCCCCACCCCCGGCCCAGCCTCATCTGTGGCTGTCAGGAACCCCAGGAACCTCCAGGAGGTTGCTAAAAGCCCCTGTGAGTGGGAGGGGTCCCGGGCACCAGGGCTACCCCCCATCCTGGCCACGGCCTCGACAGAGGCAGGCCCAGTCCCAGAACCCACAGGCGTGAGGGGGGATGGGGACTGTGGGGGGATCAGGATTCAGTTCCCCCCCACGCCACACCCACTGTGCCCTTCCCAAGGGCCACACGTAGGGGCACCTGGACCCCCAGGCCTCGGGCCGAGCCTGACCTACGGTGCAGCCTGCCTGCGGTCAGCACCACACGCCACCAGCTCACCTGGGGCCAGGCACCGCCCTACCTGCCACAGGCTCTGCCCGGGGCTGCTCTGGGCAGGCAGGCTGCCGGCCGTGGCCAATGGGGCTGGTCGGCACAGGAGTCCAGCTGGTCCTCAGACAGCAGGAGAGGGGCGCCTGGCCCTCAGGGGCCTGCTCCAGGTCCCAGGGTGGAGTCAGGGCCTCCTGCTCCAGACAGCCTTGAGGCTGCCTCTCCCTGGGCCCCGGAACCCAGAGCGGCGGTGGGGAGGGCACGTTAGCCCCCACTGGCCTCCTCCCAGCAGGGGAGGGAAGGCGCTCGACTCCGTTCGGGCGTCCTCCAGGCAAAGGGCAAGAGGCAGGAAGTGCCCACCGGGGCCTGCTGGGCTGGTGCAGAGCATGGCAAGCCAGCCAGGACAAGGGCCAGACACTGAGCTGAGCTCCCCGTGGGGACCCTGGCGAGGAGTGCCCTGTTATTACCCACCTTCTAGTCAGACTAGAGGCTTCGGGTTGGGTCATAGAGGCTGGATCTGAGCCGGGAGTCAGATGCTAGGGGCCAGAGGATCCCAGCCAGCAACCCAGGGCAGTCGCACTGGTCCTGGGCTCTGGGCAGGAGCTTTGGCGCCCTGATGGCAGGTTGGGGCTGGAAGCTCAGCTTGTGCTCATCTACACAGCGCCTGGGGAGGGACCGGGGGCATCTTTTGTGCTTGTCCCCACCTCCCAGAGAGCGGACGGAGGTGGCCTCCAAGCTGAGGGTCACAACCGCAGGGCCAGCAGAGTGGGGGAGGCACCGCCAGGCCGTGGCGGGTGGCAGCAGGTCCCAGGGCAGCCACCAGGGGTTTGGGGGGGGGGGGGTGGTGTTGAAGGAGGCTGCCTCCTTCCGGGCCAGCTCTGACTCCAGGTGTCTCAGGACACAGAGGCTTGGATGACACTGTCTCCTCATCGGCCCTGCCAGGCCCTGCGGCTCTGCCGTCTCCCTGCTCGGATTTCAAGTGCAGAGAGCACGGCACACGTGTTTATGGGCCTCCTCGCAATTCTGGCTGAATGCTTGTTAAAGGTGCCAGCTAGGACTCGGCTCTGGGGTGCAGTCCCCTGACCCCCTAGGGCCAGGCCAATGACAGCCATGGCACTGAAGGCCGAGAAGGCACCAGGACAGTGACATGGGTCATATTGGCCATTTCCCTGACACCTGCAGGGGGTGGGCTCCAGGCAAGAGTCCAGAGCCGCTGATCCAAGGGAATTCTGTGCCAGTGGCTCACAAACTCCTGTTCATCCCTTAAAACCTCCTGGCTGTGTAGCTGCCTCTGGGCAGATGAGCCCAAGCACCCCTCAGCAAACTCCCAAGAGGCCAGATCCCCAGGGAGGTCTGCAGCCTCCCACCAAGGCCACATCCTGCTGGTCACTGCCCCAGGCCTCTGGGCAAGCTAGCCCTCCACCGGTGAGGCCGGGCAGCAAGCTGAAGCCCCCAGGGTCCCCTGTGCAGGGCAGGGGGGCTGGGGTCTGGGAGCCAGGGCACCTCCAAAGCTTCTCCCCCTGCCTGGCTGTGAGTCAGCCCTCAGGAACAATGGCCTCTCAGCAGCCACAACGGCTCCCTCCCAAGTCCAGATTTAGAACCGCCCTTCCCACCAAACACAAAACACGCCAACACAGAAAAAAGAGGCCCAAACTACTGTATTTTCACGTCAACTTTGGCTCCCGGTCACTCAAGAGAGGGGCAGCTGCAGAGAAGGCGGCACCACCCCCCCCCTTCCCTTCTTCCCTCACCCTGGACCAGCGAATGCCCTCCTGGATGGGGTCGAGCCCCAGGATGACCCCAAAGGCGTCACAAGGCTGGCTTTTGTTCTCTGAGCCCCGACCCTTCCAAGTCCTTCCTGCTTGTCCTCGGGCCTGAGCTGGCCCCTTCCTCGATGGGCCCACACAGGAAGATAGGGGGGCCGGCAGCGCCCAACTCCGGACCCCAGGCCAGGCAGCGGCAGAGCCCAGAGAACAGCCTGGCTCGGGGTGGGGGTTCAGTCCAGAGGTCCTGCCTGGGCAGCCAGGCCCCTGAGGCACAGGCTGGGGGCGGGTGGTGGACGGGGGTCCTGGGATGCGCAACTGATGCGCTGCCAGGCCAGGCTGGGCTTCCAAGGTACTGAAGTGGCTCCACACTCCGGATCAGCCTGCTGGCTGTCCCACACCCCGCC